ACACACTCACACTCACACACACACACACACACACACACACACACACTCACACTCACAGACACACACACACACACATGCTCTCGCCCCTTGAGTCACACACCTTCATTGTCCTTTGGTGTGTATTAAAAAAAATATATTATAAGCTGAACGGTTTGCTATATCAATCTTGTGTGAATATATATTTTCCTTTTCCTTTGTGGTTATATCCATTGAGAACTGGACTCTTGAATCTATCGAATTGAATGCGGGAATAAACTTATAGAGTCTGATGGGATGTGAATGTGTTGCTGTGTCTGTCAGTGAAGCTCAGTATCTGCATTAATATAATCACGCTTCTGTTTCCAGGATTCATCATTGTTGCAGTTTTACCAGTGTTTACCACAGTGACGAATTATAACTGGGACGCACTGTGTGGTCAACAGATGGGCTGTAAGTGTTTGATGAATTCTGCTCTGATCCCTGATATAAACACAAATAACTCATCAAGATCAATATATAATTCGTTAATGCTCTCTGTTAGTCATTATGAATTTCTCATCTGCACAGATGTAGAGTGGAGGGTTAAATGAGAATAGAAATACTTCCAGTGATTTCAGACGTGATCATCTGTGTTCAGTTGTTTTGAGCATCTGTGAGATGTTTTATATATGCTTAAGTCAGTGTCAAACACAGATGTGCAGTTCTTCAGTAATATTACAGCTGTGTTTCAGGTTCACCTGCGGTCAGGAGATCAGTGTGGTTAACTCTCATGATGCTGATCACTGCTGTCCTGGTCTACTTCTACATCATAGCTCTGGAAAATGAAAAGGGTATGATAATATGATATATATCAGGAGCTGAAACATCTTACATGCATGCTACAGTGAAGTGTTTGTTTGTCAGTAATGAGCTCTTGCTGAAGCTGATGTGTTTGTTGGTGTTCAGATCGTGTCGGATGGGCCTGTATGATTGCGTTTCTCCAGTTACTCTGGGCACTGATCAACTTCACACGCTCATTTACATACGGTACAGTATTAATCATCTGCTCTGATCATCTTCTCACTGCGATGATTTC